TGACCCACCCTAGCTCTTAGGGGAGTACATGTATATAGGATGTGGTTTGTATAAGGCTAAGGCCTTAAACAATCGAATTAAAGCGCACATTCAAACAGTATCTAAATATATTGTTTCAGTGTCATAAATATTTATAAGGGTTTGAAAATTTATTTTCACTTCTAATTATAAAATTTAAAGATTAAAAACTAGTGTAAGTTGAGTAGATTTAGGGCACGTTTTGTTTCGAAATATTTTCACGCGAAGAGATTTCTTTATATAATTATTGGCGGGAATATTTTAACACCAATTAGCTGCCAATTGGTGTAAAAAAATGAATTGAAACAAATTTGTATGAAACTATTACCACACCTATAGAAAATATTCTCACATGAAAATATTTCCCGGAGAATATTTTCACGCAGAATAAATGTACACCTAAGTGAGCAAATAGACAATATTCTCTTACAAAAGTAGGAAATCATCTCACTTGAGTTCCATTCCTACTGTAAGTAGAAGACCCATCTCTACTAAAGTACCAAAAAGAAAAAGTAAAAATTAGACATTAGTTTTGCTTCTTTATTTTTTCTTTTGACATTTTTTTTAATAAAGAAAGAGGTTGGGTCATGGTAGCAGTCCCATACCTAGTTATCACGTTATGGTTTTCAATCCTATTGATACTACCTACTGACACCTTCAGAAATGCTAATTTTCTAATCGGCATGAAAAAATAGGTAGGGGTCGGTCTTTCCAACTAAATTACCAAAACAAAAAAAAACCCTAAAACCCCATTTGTTTGTAAAGTGCAGCAAATAAGCCCGTTCAAAGAAAATATCATTTCTCCTTGTTGCAAAAATGTTAGATATTCTAGCATCGTTAGGACATGGAATTCTTTTTTTGGTATATATGCTTGTCGAGGTTGAAATTATAAATTATAAGTTAGGCATGGGCCTTTGTTGCCATTTGAATTATAATTTAGTAAACCCACGGGCTTAGCAAAATTCTTTCCCAATTAAAACATGGGATGGCCGAACCTGCCCCAATTCAATATCTTGTAATTGGGTATGGGTTCAAAAATTAAACCCAGCAGGTTGGGTCCGGGTCTAAATCTTGGACATGAATACTATTCGCGTCTGGATCCGAGTTTAGGTCTAATGAATTTGGATCCAGGTTCCAAATTGTGATTTCTTTTAGCGTTCTTACTCGTTAATGATTCCGATTCACTACCTAACCAAGATGGATCAAAACGGCCCGTCTTTTCTCTCTAAAAATTTTGTATTCCCAAGTTTTAGTTGAATGTGAGAACGTGTGTTACCCTAACAAGTACTCTCTCTCTTCCCATGATCCCCGGACCATGCCAATTAAATGCAATGAGAAGGCACAATCCTATTAATCGCTCTCTCTAATACTTAAAGGATCCGGTTTCTATAAGGTTGCATCCTTAAACAATCGAATTGCCGTTTATATAAGGATGTAATCTTAAACAATCCAATTAAGGATAACCTTAAAATTCTATCACAACTTGTAATTTTGTTGTAAATATTTCTTAGTATTCTCTTAAAATCTATTTTCATACCTAATTGAAAAATTTTAAATTCCAAAAATAGTTAAAATTAAGTAGATCTATAAATATATAACAGTCTTGAAAATGGACGGTCTAGATAATGTGTTGCAAGATACACTATTTTTGAGACTCAAAAACTTTTATTTTTCATATTCATACATCTCGATGTCGAGATGATCGATTTGAGTGTTTTTTCAACATTAAAACGACATTGTCGCTAGATTTTTAAGGTGCATATGTGATTCTACATTTTAAAGTTGCAACCTTATATAAACTTTTCCCATACTTAAACTTTAGAAAAACCATCTCTTTTTTGTACGGTGCACCAAAAAACATAAACAATTTCTAAATTTATGAATAATTCACGAACTAAAAAAACTCTCTCTCTCTCTCTCTCTTAAGCCCAAAGGCCACATAAGGTGCTCCTCTTTGACTGGAAAGACTCAAAACACCAACCATCAAGAACCCAAAAAAAAAAAAAAAATATATATATATATATATATATGACAAAAATCAAAGCCGTCTAAAATTTGCACGAACCATATTTTTTTAAGGGAAAGTATAGAATGAAGTAATTTATCTTTGATACAAAGTGAGACATTAATCTTAACCATTAAATGTGAAATTGGGTGGCTGTAATTATTCTATTGATCAAACTCAAACTTCAAAATAAATTTTCTCCAACACAACTAATTCAACGAACGGCGAGACTGATTTTGAGTAGACCATACCCATTACCGATTCAAAGGTGGGTCCGATCCGTTTGAATTTACACGTAGTGCACTATTTGTATACTACATGTGTTGTACTATATATACATTAAAAAAAAAGTGATATATATAGTAAAAAAATACACTGAAGGACGTCTATTGTCCTGATCGTTACACCATGCTCAAGCCGAAATTTTCAAATTAAAATAATATTTAGAAATATTTAATTGAAATGAAAATCAGTATATTATTTTACAATTTTACTTTGTTATTTAATATTTTAGGATTTTTAGCTAATTAAGTTTAGTTCTTTATTAAATATTTTTTATTTAAGTGGCATTTAATTTGTCAAAATTTCTTCTTTCAAATTACTTTAGTTGCATACTTACCTATTATGTTGAGACATGTATTAGTTGTTTAAGTGGGAAGGCTTATTTTATAGAAATTCTTATTTTTCTTCTTAGAAAATGTTTTTAGCAGTATTTGCAATAATGAGTAATGTCTATTTTAAAATAGAGAGAGTAGAAATAAATCCATTCACACCTCTAATTTTTCTCCTTGGCCATATGGATTTTTCAAGAAATTACCAGATTATAGAAAATAGCAAATGTCATTTTAATAAAATGGAGGCACTTTAATCGTATAAAATAATCGAGTCTTTTTATCAATACAAAGTTAATTTGTGGTATTGGGGTCATTCTTTTACACCCAATCCAACTTTCATTTCATTAATATCACGAGTTGGGTTTCTTGCTGCCATTAGTTTGTTTTATTTTTGTTATTTGAGTTTTTTTTTTTTTATTTAAGACAAGAACAAAGAGAGGGTTGGCTAGATTTAATCCTATGTAGACGCAAGGCATTAAAAGATTGGAGACTTTAATAAGAGGAAAAAGTTTATATAAGGATGCAACCTTGTAGAACTATGGATGCACCTCAAAAATCCATTGAAAAATGTAGTTTTAATGTTGAAAAACCATTTGATTGATCATCTCGATATCGAGATATATGACTATGAAAAATAAAAAGATTTTAAGTCCCATAAATAGTGCATTTTACATGATATTATCTACACTGTCCATTTTCAAGATTTTCATATGTTTTAGATCTATTTGATTTTAACCATTTTTAAAATTTAAAATTTTATAATTAGATATAAAAATAGATTTTGAAATAATCTTAAGCACATTTTACATCAAAATTATATACCATGATAAAATTTGTAGGTGTATCTTACCTCTACACCTACGGATGCATCCATATGCCAATTGCACCCTTAATAAAATGCCCATGTCCCTAAATTTACATTGAATTTGCGATAATAGCTCTTAGCCATCGATATCAATACCGGATCGGATTACAAGGTCGGACTCGTTGATTTGAATGGTTTTGATCTATCAAACGTTTGCCTAGTTTAACCGGCCAGACAAACTTAAATATTTTTATTATATTTCATATTTTTTAATTATCTTCCTTTTATTTTTTGTCCTTTCAATAGATTTATTCTAACATATTCAATTGATGATCTAAACCGATTTTGATTAGACCATATTCATCCTTGAAAATCATAATCATCATTCACCTCAAATTAATTCGGACTCTTCGATGCTACTTTGATGAAATTTCATCATAAGAGGCATTGTCCGATTCTCAAAAAAAATCTAGTTGTGGATTTTAGCAATAAAGGAGGTATCTCCTTCATAATGGACCTTTAAGGGATTGAAAGTGCCATAAATATTAATGGCTTGACATGTACAGTTTATTTTTATTTTTTTTCCTTGCAATTCACAGCTTTGAAAAAGTTAATATTTTAAAAAAAGATCTGGGTTTTGGTATGGGTCAAAAAATTAATTCTAGTAGTAGGTTGGGTCTAGGTCCAAAGCTTAAACCCCAATACTATTTGGGTCTGAGTTTGAGTCCTGGTCTGGGTCCAAAAAATATTTTTTGGGTCCTAATATATGAAATATAATTGAATATATAAATATTTTAAGTTTTTGTCGGTTCCAGGTTTAAGTCCAGGTCCGCGTCCACACTATATGTTTAGGTCTGAATCCATATTTGGTAAATTCCGATCTAGGTCCGAGTCCAAGTTTAGGTTCGGTGAATTTGGGTCCGGGACCCGAACCCGACACTAATGTTTCTTTTAGGGTTCTTACTTGTTAATGATTGGGATTAACTACCTAACCAAGATGGATCAAAACGTCCCACGTCTTTTCTCTCTCTTCCCCATGATCCCGGGACCATGCCAAATAAATGCAATGAAAAGGCACAATCCCGTAATCTCTCTCTCAAGCAGATGTCATCTGTCTCTTCAAGATATCAATGAAGGGCACTCTCAGTCTCTTTTTCTCTCTCCCTAAACCCCAAAATAAAAATAAAACAAAATAAAATATAATATGACAAAAATAATAACTGTAACAAAAATAAATGAATTCTAAACCAAGCCATGAAGTAATGAATAAATAAATACCATTTAAAATTAAAATTCAATGTTATCAACAAAATCAACACTCATTTTCTAAGTAAAAAATATGTTGTCCACTATAACTGCCATCTCCCCTCCAACCAAACGCAATCTCTCTCTCTCTACCAAAAATTTGCAAGAACTATATTTTTTTTTTTAATGGTGCACGAAAAACCACTTTCTCTCTCAAAATACTTCTACTTCAAATTTACAAGAACAATAACTTTTTTGAATGGTGCACCAACAAAAATATATAGTTACTAAACTTTATGAATAATTCTCAAATCTAACAAAACTCTAAATTTAGACAAAGAAACATAAATAGTTCAGACAAACTACAAAAACCAAACAAACAGCCATAAATAATTTTACAAATAATCGAAAAAAAAACAAATTTGCCTCTCTCTATTTGTAATTTAGAGAAGAAACACAAAGACAACAGAACAGAGAGAGAAAGG